CACACACACACACACACACACACAAACAACAACAACAACAAAGTTAAGTCTTGTTAAGTCTTCTAAATAAGCTAAACATTGAAAAAACCAAGCCAAAATCATTCAACTTTTCGTACTTAAATACTCAATCATCTGACCGGCTTTGTTTTCCAGCTCGGGTTGGAGCATCGAGCGTCTTTGTAGGAAAGAAGAAATCTTTGGTTGAAACGAAAAAGGAAAAGGAACAAGACGACAAGAAAGTCAAAACTGTCCATGTAAGTGTTCGGTTTTTCGTTAGAAAGCTAAGAAGGCTTTTATGTTCATTTAACTAAATCATCTTGTGAAAGGCCTATTGTAAGTTGAGCGCCATGTGCCACCATCTCTTATACTCCTTTTTGATTTATTACAGCAAGCAATCAAACTACAAGCAAAACCAATAAAAGTTGAAAACCCCATTCCTAAAGAAAGTAAAGACGATGACAGCAAGATAGATGAAAAAGATGATCTCGAAAATGAGCAATCAGGTGATAATTCTGATGACAAGGACAATGACGACGACGATGATGACAACGAGATGGAAAAACAACCAGCTGATAGTGACATGGAGAGCGAGTCTGGAGATGATGAAGACACCAAAGAAGACAAGCCAGAACCAGAGGTATATACAACATGTAACAGGCATTTTAGAAGTTGTTCACCGCTATGTGTTCTAATGCATGTACCACTCCTGGGTGGACGGCTCAGTGCCTAACAAGTTTTTCAGCCCAATTTATAAGTGTCATGCAACAAAATTTTAGGAATGATTTGTTCACATGAATATTGCTTTGTGTATATGATTCTGCAAGTCTAACATGTTTAGTTAAGTAACCGAGACTGTTTTGACTTATAGATATTCTCGTAGGCCCCTGTTCTACAACGAAACCTCTTTTAGAATTAACCTAAACATTCAAACCACCAAGGTTGAACTTGTCTAGATACGTGATTTAAATATAATTTCAGATTAGATTACCTGGTTATATAAGGACGAGCAAGTTAACTATTTCTAAATATTGTACTTAGTTGTGAACAAGCCTCGGAGACAGACCCCTTGCAGCACTTTGAAATGCAGCTCAATCTGGGGGACAAAATAATAGGTTCCACTTCTCAGGAAATTGGAATTCTTTTGTTCAGTCCCCTATAGATCATGCTGCTTTGACGTCACATGCAAGGGGTCTATTCCTAGCGTGCTGTACTCTTATGTGAGGCAGCCGATAGATCGAAGTAGAATTTAGAAGTTAAATTTTGTGGAGGGAGGGAAAACAATCAAAGCACATGAGAGAACCAACAAACAACTCTACTCACATACGATACTGAGCCCGGCGGGACTCGAACCCGTTTCGCATTGGTAAGAGTAGGCGGATTAGCAGCGTACATTGCACGCAGCATTGCAAGCAACAAATTTGAATAGGGGGTGACACACTTTGCAACGAAATCACGCAACATCGCTTGTGTCAGCCTGCTATGTTAAGATATTTGGTTAGCAATTTGGTGCAAGCTGATTGGCTGGAAATTTCAAAATGTTGCAGGTAATGTTGCAGCCATGTTCACATGATGAAATTTGTTGCGCGCAGTGTAGCAAGAGTAGAGCGCGATTCAACTTCAGATTAGTTACATGCAACAAGTTCCAGGGGTAGACACACGCTGCAACAGTCCTGTTGCGTGAAATGTTGCATGCAATGTTGCACCGTGTTTCAGCACCTTAAGAGTTCTCAGTGGCAAGAACACCTGACCGGTGAACATGGGCTGAGGTCATGGCCTTGAATCTCGTCTGAAGCTTGAAAATTTTTCCCGAGAAAAACTAGCTTGATGAAATATAATTTCAGTTACATATCTAATAATTTACCAATCACAAAAACACCTAAATACTTATATGAATAGTAAAAAAGGGACTTAGAAGATTGAAGAAAGCTTGTAGACTTTCATCACGAGCAGGACAAATGCGATTGTTTGCCAATTTAGATTATTTCAGTGTTTTTATCAGTAAGCACTGGAAAAATCGATGGATTTGAACTGAATTTTGACAAATATTTCAAAAAAAACTTGGAGAAGGTTTTGTTGAATGTTGCAACAATGTGGAATATTCTCAAACCTTGTCTGCACGTCTTCCGGCATATATTCAATTCTGTGTCATTGACATTAGATTTAAATGATTTGAGTATATGATAGACTTGAATATATGATAGACTTCAAGCTTGGTTAACAACACTGTGCGACATCCAACAAAACAGTATTTGTTCAATCGTCGATTAATTGATGTTTTTTTTAAATTCTCTAACCAAATATTTTCTCCTTTCTTGAATTTAGCCCAAACATGCTGCAAAACCGGCCAAACACGCCTCTGTTCCCAAAGTTACAAAGAAACCAGAGCAAAAGATCGTCGTACAAAAACCCGTAGTTCCAAAAGTCCATCATCACAAGCAGAAAAAAATTGCAAAGAAAGTTGTTCACGACAAGAAACCTAAAGCTAAAGAAGTACAAGTTGTGAAGAAAGTCGACGACAAGAAGCCAAAGAATCCCGTAAAAGCTTTGGTCACGAAGCACAAGAAACCAGCTCATGTTGCACACCACAAAAAATCTGCCAAAAAAGCGAAGAAAGTGAAAAAAGTTGCAAAGAAAAACTAAATAAATTTGTCACAATAAATATGCCATCAGTACCAACTTATCCATGGCAAACATGTTCAGGAAATCATTCCTAGAAATTACTATAATTTACTAGGATTTTTTCCCTTCGAATACCAACGGTATAGTTTTGTTTTGAATATTTTCAATCGAAAGTCAGAAGGTCTTACTTTGAAAGACATTTGAAATGTTTAAATTTTTTTCGATAGATAAGAACTTTAGTTTATTCTTTGTGTTGCTTCAACACAGCTAGATATGATGTATTCCAGGATCCACATACTGAAATTCTGTTTCTAAACAATACTGCAAACTTAGTCAAACAATTCAACATCTTAAAAAAGCCTTGTGATTCAGTTCCATACTTTCAGTGGCCTTACACTTATTTTATTTCGTTAAATAATATTTTTTAAGTTAACAAACGTGCAGAATGAGAAATTGTACCGACAACTTAATAATTTATGACTCTAAAATAACAACTTATAACAAATAAAAAATACATTAGCTACAAGAAATATGAACTGAAAATAACTACTGATAAACTCTTGTGTATAAGTCGCGGCCGCCATCTTGGTTGTCTTATCTTGATTTAAAGAAATTAATAACCAACATTGCGGCAATGTCTTTTGTCCTTGTGAATGTGACCTCATAGCCGCCATTATGGTTGAGTTGAACGAAAGATTTGGTCTTGGTTCGTCTTGGTTTCTTTTGTTATGTCAACCAACATGGCGGCAATGTCTTTTGTCATTGTACATGTGACGTCACAGTCGCCATGTTGGATGACTTGAGCAATAAGATTTGTGATTGTTTTTTTTTTGTTATATCAACCAACATGGCGGCCATGTCTTTTGTCCTTGTGCATGTGACCTCATAGCCGCCATGTTGGTTGACTTGAACAAAAGATTTGGTCTTGGTTTGTTTTGTTATGTCAACCAACATGGTGACCATTTCTTTTGTCCTTGTGCATGTGACGGCAAAGACGCCATGTTGGTTGACTTGAACAAAAGATTTGATCTTGGTTAGTTTTGTCGGGATTTCAAGTCCGCGCAATTAGTTCCAGTCCTAGGCTGCGCCTCGGACTGGAACTAATTTCGCGGACTTGAAATCCCGTCCAGTCCGATATTGGAGGCTTTGAAATGACTTCTCATCTCATTAATTATTCGACTTGGAGTAACTGGAACAAAATTAATTCAGTCCTAGGACTTAATTAATTTTGTTCCAGTTACTAGGACTGAATTCATTTTGTTCCAGTTACTCCAGACTGAATGCATTCCTTTCACAGCACTTTACCAGGTTTCATGTAGCTTCATGTGACCCAAAAATAGCCCATTGATTGGCTGGTTTACTCATGAATTATTAATGAGTATGAGAAGGTAGTTTGCAAAGGTTTCTCCTATATTAATAATGACGTTTCCTGAAACAGCCCCATGATTCGGCACGCGTTCCACTCGTTACCAGTCTTCCTAGCGACTCCAGGTTGCCAAAATGAACTATATTTTGGTTTACCTTGCTCGGTAATCATATTACAAGGCACTTGCATGACTTTTAGGGTAATTAGTATAGGAAATTGCACGATCTCGAGTACAATTTGGAAATTAATAGACACGAGTAATGTTTTGAAAGTTCTTGTAATTGCACGAGCCTTTAGGCGAGTACAATTAAAGAACTTTCAAAACATTACGAGTGTCTATTAATTCCAAATTGTACGAGAAGATCTTGCGATTTTTTGTTTATAGTTCACTCAACAAAATTTCAGTAAAAAATGCGAAGCGACGCGTTTATCCTTGTCTATTTGGCGGCCGATTTCCAGTCCATCGTGCAACTGAAATGCATAAAAAAGATTAGTTCTTTCGGCTTTAAAATTTTATTTATGCTTTTTAAGTACAAAATGGTAGAAAATAATTGTTTTGACATTGTTTTGGCCGTGTTGCCATAGCGACTTAATTCGTTACTCTTACGGAGTACAATTAACGCTATAATTGTACTCCTCTCGACCAATCAGAGTCGAGTAATTTTGTTGAGTGTACTATAAGTGCTTAAATGTTCCCTCAAGCCTCGAAATGTCAGAGTAAGAGTCCCTCCGCTTATGGCGTCGGAGTATACGCCAACCTCTCTTTCTTTCCGGGGAAATTTTAAAATGTAGTTACCCTTGCTATTACTTTCAATTACATATGAATATAATACATCTCAAGCTTGGTAACAAAAAGATTCGTCAACTTTTTTTCAAATAGCTGTGCATCTTACCCAATGAAGCCGTAGCGTTCTACCTGCAAGTTGGTCGCAACCATTAGCTGTAAAAGATATAATCCGCAGAATGAACAAATTGACCCACCCTCCTTTAGAGTAAGGCTTAAAAAAAGCTGATTTCTTAAGCTTAGGAGTAATGTTTTCCCATTCCAGACCACGTGTCATTCTCTTGAGAATATGATTCTGCAGTTGTTCCCATATTCATGTGTCTTCTCATGCGCAACCGTTAAACAAAGAAATGATTCTCTAAGTAGGAAATAGCATGTGGTCTAAGACATTATGCCTCTCGCGTAAATGGAATTTACTACTAGTCTATTTTAAATTGTTATCACAGACATCTTAAAAATTCACACAAAACTACAATTGTAAAACTACAATTTATCCGCATCTTGATTTACTGTATCTTTTACATTAATTTTACATGAACTTTTCAGACTGTGTAAACATCTAACCATATTCACGTGTTTTCTCATGCGCAACCATTTAACAAAGAAATGATACTCTAGGGAATGATATGTGGTCTGAAACATTTCGTCATTCGGGGAGAGAAACTATAGCAAAGAACACTGGAGAAAAACATGTGCGCATGAGTGTATTTAAGCACGTTTTCTCAGAACTTAGAAGAGTTTTGTGAGAAAAGAACTATTCGAAGCATACAACACTTGAAAATTCGCGAGTATACTTTTGTGACACCAAGATATTGTATTAACAAACACAGTATGAGAGCATTAGCCTTACGTTTCAAGCATGGACACTAATTATAAGTTTTGGCATTTTGTGAAGTCCAAGTACTCCAGCTTCGAGTTCTCTTTTGCTCAGCGTTAGCCTCAGTTGTGTTAAAATATTCAGCCACTCAACTAAAACCTCTGGATTCCTAATCAACTTGTATTGTACCGTAGTGCGTACATTCCTTACTATACAATGGACCTTAATAAAAAAAAGAAAAACAAAAACGAACACATTCGTAAACAATCAAGGCTAAGACTGAGCAAAGGTCAACTCGAAATGGGAGTTTTATCAGGCATGTTCGAAAGCCAAATTTACATATTTTTACAATAGCATGAAGTCGTTTTGACTAATTTAATTTGTATACGGACTTGGAGCATGCGCAGACGTTTTTTACTCTTCCCATGGAAAGTCATTTTCTTGGGAATAAGACTTTTTATTTGATTCATGTGTCTTCTCATGCGGTTAGTGTTTGTTTGTATTTTTGATTGGCGGAAAAAAAGACAAGAAAAAAAAAAAAAAAAGAAAGAGAGAAAACCGTTTTTAGACTAAACTTGAAATGACCGAAAATTAAATCAAAACTGAAGCATTAAAACCCCTATTCGTTTATCTTTTTATCTCTGAATCGATGCCGTCAAAATAATTTCTTTTCAATTTTTTTCCCGCCATCCTGGTTCGGTATGACGTCATCGATTACACGCTTTCTAAGCATTGTGGGTCGTGATCTTTCTCATTAAGGGCAATAACATTTTGTTGTCGATTTGATCATATTTGCAGAATCCAAAACAACCCATTTTTAGGTGATACTTTGCTCGTCGGACCTGATCGACGGAAAAGTAAGGTAAGCTAAAAGATTTTTATCAAAATCACGACATTTTAAACCAATAATTCTTTCTTTTTCAAACGACTTGAATGTTGCTTTTGTAATGTCACTTTTAAGAAAATAGATTTGAATTTGTCATAATGTTCACTGAAGAAAAAATGAACGAATTTGAATTTTTTGGCCAGAAATGGTTGTCAATTTAGAACTTTGATATTTTAGGATTTCATATTTTATTTTATCATTTGTCTCAAGCAGTGTTTTCACAAACGAGACGTTACATTTATTCAAATGATTTGAATTCCTACGTTTTGCTTTGATTGATCTTTTCGCGGCTAAAATTGAATAAGGTTTTGTTTTATGTGATAGCAAGAAAAGGCGAAGGACTATATTTCCATAAAAGTACATTTATTCCTCTTATGAATAGAGTCTATAATATATAAGATTTTGGATTCATACATTTTTATTTTTGCCAAGACTACAGACTGTTGAAGTTGCTGGTTTACGATACAAGCAATGAGGGTGGCGTTATTGGGAATTCATAAAGGATATTGATAAACTATAGGCCTACTAAATTAAGTCTGCTTTCTTTCTCTCTTATATTTTTCTCTGTTTTCAACGTTTGAAGAAGAAGAAGCAAGATGCGTATTGTAATTGGAGTTATCACCATATTGCTCGTCCTACAAGTCTGCTTTACGTACGCCAAAGGTACCGTTGTATAACACAGTTCGTTTACTCCTTCACTACTCTCACACTTTCAAAACTCTTCAAATTGAATAACCTTTTAATAGTCTTTTAATCAAGAAGGGATATCTAGTTAATTGAATTTCTTTCTTGGACTAATTGACAGTCCAATTCAAAGAATTAGCGAGGAATCTCTTACGAAACTTCCAAGCGATCAGGATCACATAAATGATGGAGTAATTTTGTAATCAATAAATAATGAACTCGAGTCATGGTACCCGTCCAAATATCTCGCTCGAGTTGTCCTACCGTTAAGAGTAATATATTCTATATCTATTATCTCTAAACCGTAAAATTTGCAAATTTTTCCTTCGTTTATCGACGTCTTGATATGAATACTACCAGGGTCCTTTTCGTAGTTCATTTTATTGGCATCATTTACGTCATTATCTTGTGAACTCCCAAAGGAACTTAAAATATTTGAACAAATTCAAAGAGGATTCTAGTAGTAATAACATCAACACTTAATAAGATGAATGGGGGATTCATTTTTCATTGAAAAACTAAAGTCCAACTGAACTGTAGTAACTGTGTCTTTACGACTCTCAAATTACTTGAAAAATTTGAATGAGGAATGGAATTGAAATAGTCGATTCTTGTACTAATTATCAACCACAAAGGGAGAAGGCGCGTTTGAAAGTTCACTCTAGCCAAGAAACAAAAATATCACTCTAACATCAAACTAAATAAAATGAAAATATTGGATTTCTCTTGCAGCTTTTTCGTTTTTCACTTGCGGGTTGTTGTAATACAACTCGTCGAGCGAGGATTTCATATTCATACAAATATTATCGAAAAAAATAAAACTTCAAAATTGAAATGTTTTACGACTATTCTTTTATTCGAATTTCAAAATGGTCGACCCACAATTTTTTTAACAAAACTTGTTATGGAAGTTCTAGTGAGTTTTAAATACGAAGACGTGGACAACATCGATCGATTTTTTTTTAGTTTTAAGGCAATGTTTCAATTCTAAATATTTCAAAAAGCATTGGTCACCAGTAACATTTCTCGCGTTTGGTTGAAGTCAACATTGAAACGCAAACCCAAGCATATTTTAAAAAATATTTCTGGCTTGAAAATGCTTAAATATTGGAATTTGTGAGTAAATAAATATTTGAGTAAAGTTGTTTGCTGGTTGGCTCCTGTGCTCAAAGGGTCTTTCTCAGCAAATTTTTCTCCCTCCGTAAAATACATTTTAATTTGATCTGGTGTCGAATGCTTTTAAAATATATGAGCCAGTGGCTCTAGAGACTGAGCAATCGCTCCCTGGTTCGACGTAAAATAAATAAAGTTTATATTTTGTTTGGTGAAGTGTCAAACCAATTACTTGGCTTCGAAAAAGCATTCCGAGACGATAAATATATATCTTTTAATTGTAGTTATCAAGAAAGTAAAACATGTAGGACATCATCATCACAAGGCCAAGAGGGCAATGGAAGGTAAAGACGGATAGAGTGTTAAGGTGTATTTTAGGGTAAAAGACAGAGGAAAGAGTTTAGATATCAAGGCAAGAGCACAGCAAAGCACAGCATCGCACGCCATAGCAAAGAAGAGTAAAACACAGCACGACTCTTGAAAAAGTAAAGCAAAGCAAAGAACAAAAAAGCTCAGCGCAAAAAAACAAAACAAAAACAAAACAAAACAAAAACAACAACAACAAACAAACAAACAAAATAAAAACGCACAGCATGGCACAGTACAGCACAGTAATACAGCACAGCACAGCATAGCACAGCACAGCACAGCACAGCACAGCACAGCACAGCACAGCACAGCACAG